AAGACGTCTACAGTGACTAGATCGTAGCACTAAATAAATACGGTAAAATATATTCACAAGTTTAAACATGTTGGTACCTATAGTAAGACGTCTACAGTGACTAGATCGTAGCACTAAATAAATACGGTAAAATATATTCACAAGTTTAAACATGTTGGTACCTATAGTAAGACGTCTACAGTGACTAGATCGTAGCACTATGAAACCAAAGCAGTTTCGTTTGATTAACTACCTAGTCTTTTCATTCAACATTCATTCTCTTCATTTTTTTTTCCATTTGCAATTCCTATTTAACGAAGATAAAGTTTTCACATTCGTGATTTTTTTATGTTCCACAGTTTATTTTCTTTTGAGTTAGCAAATAAAGATAAAAATATGTTGTCGGTCAACGAATTCCACTGTTTTGGATTTCTGAAAACTGTTTAAGTGTTTGATTATACGTTATGGTGTTTAGAGTATGTTTATTGGTGTTATAGGGTGTGCTTATGTTTGTTGAAACCCCAAATTTTGTTGATTCGAAATCTTTTGTTAGTTTTGAATTTCGCGCAAAGCCACAAAACAGGGCTATCTGCGCTAGCCATCCCTAATTTAGCAGTGTAAGACTAGGGGGAAAGCAGTTAGTCATCACCACCCACCGCCAACTCTTGGGCTACTCTTTTACCAACGTCACATTATACCGCCCCCGCGGCTGAAAAGGCGAGTATGTTTGGTGGGACGGGGTTTCGAACCCCCGACCCGCAGATTGCGAGTCGAGCTCCCTAAACACCTGGTCATACCGGGTCTGGTTCAAAATTACTCACCGTGTTTCATTCTTACAACTCCTTATCTACTGTTCATTTCATTTCTACAAAGAATCATGAAACATACAGCTCATAGACTTTGATATCATGTTTTCCAGTTCTGTAAACTAAGTTATCTAAACTTTCGCTAAATTCATATTCAATGCTCTAAAAGAAATACTATCAAACTGACTTTAACGTAAGCTTATAGTAATTAATTTTGGTAATCAAACAACACCACAATACATTAAACACAAATTAGCCAAAATAAGGCCTAACTACATACTTTTCGAACTTGAAAAACTATTGCATGTGATCATTTCACTGCTTAGTAAACGTACCGTAACATAAGATCTCGTCCGATCCATCACCGCAATGATTAAATCCATCGCACTGAAGCTCTGGATTTATGCAACGTCCGTTACTGCATCGAAAATCTTTTCCTGAAAAGCAGCCTGAAAGATTTAGATTTCAGTTTGTTAACACATGGTTTACAAGTCATTCTAAATTCATGAAGTTAGTAATATTAATTAAGTTCCTTTTAACAACTTTTCTTCACAAGAGTATATTTTCGTTTGTATTAGTTTATACAAGTTTCAGGATGCAAGTGTAAAAGTTTAAACACAACCATTTTTTTCATAACACTTTAAAATGTGTTATCCAATTTTAACGATGGAGTCGACAATAATACACCCCTAATAAACTTTAGTTACTGTTAAATAATATCCTGCAAAGAACTAGAAGCCATCTTGAGACTGTAAGATGTTTTATCCAGTTTTAACGGGTCGTGCAGAGTGGACAATGGGACACTCTAAATAAACTTTAGTTACTGTAAAATAATAGCTTGTAAAGGACAAGAAGCCATCTTGACACTGGTGTTTTACAGCGAACTAACAATAAAGAAGAATTGATGATGTATTATTGCAAAATTTTAGAATGATTCTACTTTAAAATACGGTATTTTTTAAGAGTGTAACATACATTTCACACTGGGATATCATATGGAATAGTTAGGTAAACCTGAGGGTTTATAATGCTATAATTCGAGGTTCGATCCTGCAGCTGTCACAGTGCATATACCTCATTATGCAGCTACTATCAAAATAAACAACATATTACATACCGTCACGTTTAAACGCTGTGTACACAATTGCAACTTTTGACTTGTAAGAGAATGTTCCCTGTATCATCACGTAACATCCTTCTGACGCGGAGACTACATTTTCTTGTCCTCCATGTTGGAAGCTCCTCAGAGATTCCAGTAGAGGAGATTTCGATGTAAAACCATGTCGAACTTCGACTATGGACTCTTCAGCTGAAGAATATGTGGAATACAAAGAAGTATTAAATGGTTACGGGTATGAACTACAATATAAAAAACATAAGGAATGATAACAACCGTTACGGGTATGAACTACAATATAAAAAACATAAGGAATGATAACAACCGTTACGGGTATGAACTACAATATAAAAAACATAAGGAATGATAACAACCGTTACGGGTATGAACTACAATATAAAAAACATAAGGAATGATAACAACCTTTTTTAGCCAAACTAGTTGTATTTTTGTAATTTATTTTTTTTTCGTTAGAAGTTCTACTACAAACATATCAGAAAGACGGGCTCCCTTAAGAAATGTGAAATGAAAGTGACCCAAATCTGATAACCAGGGATGCAAGGCATGATGTGTTGTGGTGTACAAGCACACATGGGATTCCCACAGCATTGTGTTATAGTCTGGGACCAAACCACACACGAAATGCTAAGATTATCCCTCGTATCATAGTATTGTTTCATGATGTTTTCACCGAGCTTTTGGTTGGCTTCTACAATCAGAACAGATACTGCTAGGGCACAGTCACATACATATGTCTGATAGATTTGGGTTGGAAACAATTTCGTCATAATTTATATGATGATGTCCTAGGTTTCATTAATGTCGTCGTCTGAAAACTTGAGAACAAAGGACGTTGGTTTCAGGCACAGATGTAAGCGTTCCTGCGGTGCTATGCTTCTGAGACTCCGTGTATCACAGGAATATAACAACATCAGTAAAGCAATCAACAATTTGTGTTCCAGAGCTGTACTGGCTGGTGATCATCATAACATCCGTGCATTAGCACTTGTAAATGATCCACACGTTATATACTTATGATGCTGAAAATGGAAAATGAAGTTTTAACCCGAAAAGGCATTCATCTTCCTTGTGAATGTGTTTTTTGGTTCAGAACAACACAACATTCTGTCCACTGCGGGGGATCGAAACCCGTATTTTTGCGTTGGAAGTCCGTATAATATCGCTGACGCATCGGGGGGGGGACAAATTAATAGGTCACATATACTCTCTGGAGACAGGTGTTCGTAGATACTGAAACATACCTAACATGATGTTACATAAGCAAATCTCAAACAGGAATGGATTTTTTAAAAATAAAAACATCTGGAACTGTTTGCCACTAAAACCATCTGGGACTGTTTGCCACTAAATCCATCTGGGACTGTTTGCCACTAAATCCATCAGGGACTGTTTGCCACTAAATCCATCTGGGACTGTTTCCCACTAAATCCATCTGGAAATCAGATGCACCCTATAATATTGCTTATGTTAGATAGCGTTACCATCCTATTCCTAAGTTTGTCACCATCTTCCATCATTGGCTTCACAAAGGGACAATGGTTAGAAATACTGTAGTCGTGACATTATAAGTTGTACTTGGCGTTCTTCTAGATGTCTATGTACGTTCCATCTAGAATGACAATGGCCACAAATTATCAACCTAAAAATACTTGTGTGCAAATTGTTGAGTATGGCGACCAAAGGATTCATCTTGAGTAATATGTCAAAACGTTTGGGAACAAGTCATTCTATTTAGCATTCAAAAGCAGCTTTAACAGCCTTAGACATTATACTTTTACGTGACAATTGAAAAGTGGTTTATAGGGTGTTAATCGAAAGGTCACAGTACGGCTTTACTATAAGCACATCAAGGGACCTTGGGAAAGGTCGTGAGGTTTTGTGCATTTCATTGAACTGCTTCTTATGGACACCAGTTCTTTTACCAAAACAAACAAGGGTTAGTTGATTTAGTGAAACATTTCATTGACTTCTGTTGGTTACTGCTCTTGGCATCAACTCCTCACAAACATCAATGACCTTAACACGTGATAGTTGAAGTCAAACCTTGATCATTGGTTAAACACTGTACATGTGAGATATCAGGTAATTACAGCACTGTTTACTGTAAACATCCTAACATATGTCTGTCGTGACATGGTTCTGATGTTTAGATGGGTTCATCTGTTTGTAATACCCCTAGCGGTACTAACTGTACATGTCTTTCGTCTTAACATCCAGACGGTAACGACGATCGTGTCCCTGCTTCCTCATATGAAGGATTTTATGGACAACATTTGACAGGGAAGATTGGAATGTTTTTGTAATGTAAGTGAAACTACACCTTACCACGTCCCACGTCTGGAACAACAAATCAAGGTTCATTAGGAATCATGATTCATGACATCACAGCCTGAGGTGGCAGAATCTGTTTGAAATGACGAATCAAACCCAAGTTCAAGTGAATACATCTTCAGTTACTGTCTCTTCAAACAATCATGACATCACAGCCTGAGGTGGCAGAATCTGTTTGAAATGACGAATCAAACCCAAGTTCAAGTGAATACATCTTCAGTTACTGTCTCTTCAAACAATCATGTCATCACAGACTGAGGTGGCAGAATCTGTTTGAAATGAGGAATCAAACCCAAGTTCAAGTGAATACATCTTCAGTTACTGTCTCTTCAAACAATTCTTTGCACCTCATGTCCTCATGTACAATTTGGCTTTCATTTATGCCTAAGTCACTCACTGACACAATGTTGTGGAAATCCTTGTGTATTCCCTGCGTGGGTTGCACACTACAATCTTTTTTCTATTATGATTAGCAACCCTGCAACCCTTCTTACCAGCTACGGGCGACTTTAATTTTATATTCTTTATGAAAACGTGTCCTTTCATCTAAGAATACACGTCTCCATCATAAAACGTTCCACCACAATCAGATATAAATATCACTTAAGCAAATATTCCCGTCTTACATCACATAGAATTCTGACAACAACAAAACGAAATCTAAACGTTATCTAAGTATATAATTTATGTTATAACAAGTTCTGCTGTTAATTCCTCTCATAAAGTAATTTCGTTCTAAAGTTACTTAAGGTAAATAAGAACCCATTAAAGTATGTTCAACTTTAACTTCATTATAATTCTTGAATCTATCAAATAACTTGGACTAAAAACACAAACACATCTGAAGCTCTGAAATAGTTTCGATGTTTCCATCCTTACAACCGGACACGACAGGTAGATACTACTGGTGTTGTAAGTTTTACACAGTAGTTGGTAATACTACTGGTTTATAGGTTTTAAACAGCGGTTGTTTATACTACTGGTGTTGTAGGTTTTACACAGTGATTGGTAATACTACTGGTGTGGTAGGTTTAGACAGTAGCTGGTAATACTACTGGTGTTGTAGGTTTTACACAGTGGTTGTTGATACTACTCGTGTTAGAGGTTTTGCACAGTGGTTGGTAATACTACTGGTGTTGAAGGTTTTACACAGTGGTTGGTAATACTACTGATGTTGTAGGTTTTACACAGTGGTTAGTAATACTACTAGTGTTGTAGGTTTTACACAATAATTAGTAATATTACTGATCTTGTAGGTTTTAGACAGTGGTTGGAAATACTACTGGTGTTGTAGGCTTAGACATTGGTTGCTAATACTACTGGTGTTGTAGGTTTTATATAATGGTTGGTAATACTATTGGTTTATAGGTCTTAAATAGTGATTGTTGATACTACTGATGTTGTAGGTTTTACACATTGGTTGGTAATGCTACTAGTGTTGTAGGTTTTACACAATGATTGGTAATATTACTGATGTTGTAGGTTTTAGACAGTGGTTGGTAATACTACTGGTGTTGTAGCTTTAGACAATGGTTGTTGATACTACTGGTGTTATA